TCCTCTTTTCCTTCTGAGACAGTAGCTATAAGCCCCGGCTGGCCTGGAACTGGCCTTGCAGCCCAGGTCACCTTGAACCTGCCCTGGTGCTCCTGTGAGCACCTCTAGTCCAGCTTGCATTTGCTCTTGTGTTTTCCAGATTTGATTTTGTGGTTACTGGGTTGAAGCCTTGGTATAAATCTTATGTTGTACTCACAAGGTGGGACTTGTGTGCGTTTGCTCTGCTTTTCTCGGTTGTGTTCTGTTTCTCTTCCACAGCTCCACCTGGCCGTCCTTCCCACACTTAGCACTTAGACTCTTTTCTTCAGTAGCACCTCCTCTGAACCACTCAGATCTTCGTGCTTCTTGCTCAGTCCTAGGCTTTCTAAGCTGACCCTCCTTCGATGGTGTCCCAGGTTTCCCAGAATGCTTCCATGTTCAGAAGTTTTCTGAAGAGTCTACTTGTGACTGCTGTCATGACTTTTCAAAAGTAAATTCTTAGACACTAAATTTATTTTTATTTTATTACAATTTAAAGTAACTTTTAAAAACTTTTCCTGTAGACAGTATACAGTAGGTCTTTGCTTTCCTTTGGTTCGGTTTGGGGATGGTTTGTGTTTGTGGGTTTGTTTTTTGGTATGGTTCGTTGGTTGATTGTTTTGGGGGTTTTTTGATACTGAGTCTCCCTGAGCCCCAGCTGACCTGGAACTCAGTATGTAGACCAGGCTATCCTAGATCTCAACCTCTGCCTCCCAAGTACTGGAATCAAAGGCATACGCCAGCACATCTATCTGCTTTCCTTTTTAAAAATATTTTGTTTATGATTTTGGGGGGCTGGAGAGATGGCTCAGCAGTTAAGAGGACTGACTGCTCTTGCAGAGGACCTGAGTTCTATTCCCAGCACCCACATGGTGGCTACAAACCGTTGTTAACTCCAGTTCCATGGGAATCCGAAGCCCTCTTCTGAGCTCTGCGGTATTGCATGACGGGTGCACTCACATGCATACAGGCAATGTATACTCATACACATAAAATAAAAATAATAAAATATTAAAAAAAAATAAAAAAGGTTGTGTCAAGCTGTATAGATGAGAGCTCTCACACCTCAGAGTCTGTCTTCAGCAGTGCTGCACTGGGGGAACAGTGCAACACAGCACAGTCTTCTGTCCCCCTTGCCTCTCCTTTGTGCTCTCACACCTCAGAGTCTGTCTTCAGCAGTGCTGCACTGGGGGAACAGTGCAACACAGCACAGTCTTCTGTCCCCCTTGCCTCTCCTTTGTGCTCTCACACCTCAGAGTCTGTCTTCAGCAGTGCTGCACTGGGGGAACAGTGCAACACAGCAGTCTTCTGTCCCCCTTGCCTCTCCTTTGTGCTCTCACACCTCAGAGTCTGTCTTCAGCAGTGCTGCACTGGGGGAACAGTGCAACACAGCACAGTCTTCTGTCCCCCTTGCCTCTCCTTTGTGCTCTCACACCTCAGAGTCTGTCTTCAGCAGTGCTGCACTGGGGGAACAGTGCAACACAGCAGTCTTCTGTCCCCCTTGCCTCTCCTTTGTGCTCTCACACCTCAGAGTCAGTCTTCAGCAGTGCTGCACTGGGGGAACAGTGCAACACAGCAGTCTTCTGTCCCCCTTGCCTCTCCTTTGTGCTCTTGCCACACGTTTGTCTCTGCTACGTCCTACGCCCTACAGCGCGTGGGCTAAGCAGCCAGCTGTCTTTTCAGTGGACTTAGATGGAAGCATCTGTATGCGGCTGCCTAGAGTTGGTTTCCATTGTGTGTTTCCTTTGCGTAGTCCTAAGTCCCAGCCAGTACCACTCTCCCTACACTCAGAGGACTTCCATTGGTATTTTATGAGGTAAAGATGTGAATTCTTTTAAGTTTTGTCTATCTGTGTAAGGATTTTTTAACCTTATTTTTGAAAGATACTTTCAGTGGGTAAAGAATTTTGGGTCAACTTGGTTTTTTTTCTTCATTGATTTAACAATGTTCCACTTTTTAAAAATAGCAACTGTAGTGCTGAATCAAAACCAAAAAAATTCTTTAGTCCTTATACTTTTCATATTACAAATCTCCATTAGAGACTTTATTTTTAAAAAAAACAGCTGAAGAGAACAAAATTAAAGTCATCTTGGTTCATATTGCAAATATATAGTCACCATTGGCATGGGGGGTTTTCCCTATGGAAATTAGCTTTTTCAGGAAGTTTTATATCCGTGCTGTTTTGTATTCCTCTTCACCTTCATTGTGTCACTTTCCATGTCATCAGGGTTCTTACAGATTCCTATTTTCAGTCTTTTCAAAGCTTTAATACAGTTCTGACTTACAGTTTTTAATCTCTAGATATTGATGCAGAAGCTGCAGTTTGATTGAAGAGACTTTTGGATAATGTTGTGTCTTTTTTTTTTTTTTGAGACAGGGTCTCCCTGTAGCCCCAGCTCTCCTGGAACTCACTATGTAGACCAGGATGGCCTTGAACTCACAGAGATCTGCCTGCCTCTGCCTCCTGGGTGCTGGGATTAGAGGCGTACACTGCCATGCCCGGCTTTTTTTTCCCTTTTTTTTTAAAATTTATTTTTATTTTTCATGTATGATATATTACCTGCATTGTAAATGCACCTCTGTTGTGCAATGCCCATGGAGGTCAGAAGAGGGCATCAGATCCCCTAGAACTGGAGTTAGGATGGTTGTTAGCTACCATGTGGGTGCTGGGAATCAGACCTGGGCTCGCTATCTCCATGGATGGACTGCAGGAACCAGAAGAGAACCAGTAACTTTTGTTTTCTTAAACAGAAGTAGAAAGACCATTTTCCATATTTTCTATTTCTGTTAGGCTGTGTTGTTCTGGTTTTTCTTGAGAAGCTGTCCTCTATTTCTTGTTTCACTTTCAAATGAATAGCAATAATTCACTGTTCGCTAAGTGATCATTTTAGTACTTCACATAGTTTAGTTCCACCTTGTCACATATGAATACTTAATAAAGCTATGTGATAATAGCTAAGGTTCACCATAAAACGCATAGCTGGATCTCAGCGTTTAGACCTTTGAAAATGCTGAAGTAGGTAAAGAAAGGGAGGGTGACCCCCTTTGGCAGCACTGGAAGGATGGAACCTCAGAAGGGCCACGCTTCACAACTTCATGACTGCTGCTTTTTCATTGTACCATTTTCTGCTTGTCCTGTGAATTTCAGATCAATTTCAGACCCCTCTTGCTGGAAGAAATTGGGCAGTTCTGAATGTGGCTTTCCTAGATGTTGCCATAAACACTTCTACCTGTTGACTCCCGTTGTTTTGGCCCATGATCGCACACAAGCCTTTGAGCACATTTCTTTGGGAGTACGCTGTCATTTGATGTTTCCCCTTTGAGTCACAGTAGAGGTTTCTTGGAGCTGATTTATTCATAGGTTTCTTATTACCTGGTTGTGCCAACAGCATTTCTCTGCAGGGGTGTCACGTGGCATGGTGTGTTGGTACAGTGAATCTCGATTTTGTGTGTTTGGGGATTTAAGATACCCTGGAGATATGTAGCATTATCACAAGTAAATAGAACAACGATTGTATTCAGTCTAATGCTTATATGACTTAATTTGCTATCATGTTGTAACTAAATTTGGGGTACAAAAATGTTTTCCAAGATGTGGTGAATTGCTGTTTTTATCTTCATTTCCAGATTCACACAGAAAAGTTTCATTCCCCTTGTTATTCTCATGAGCTCAGACCATTTCTGTCAGCACGTCTGTTGGTCCCAGCAGTCTCACACGCACATTCCTTCTCTCCGCTGGCAGAGTCAGGGCAGCACAGCCTGAGGGCTGCACAGTGGGACAGCTTGTGGCACGTGTGCAGCTTCTTCTGCTCCAGCAGAGTCGTCATGGGGGTTTTGTTTCCTTGAGAATGAGTCTGCTTTTTTATTTTCTTTCAATCTAATAAAGTCTCGAAAGTTCCTAGGTTATTTCAACAGAGAATCCAATGAGCTGTAAGGACTAAGTTGTTTGGTAACTGTCCTCAGTGAGCCATGGACTTACTTTCCTCTTTCAAGTTAATTTTTGTTGCAAAAATTCATAATCCTCCCCCGACTTGGAACAAATTCTAAAAACATAAAGCCGGATCTCAAAACTACAATTACTTTATCCATTCCGGTCATAGTAGCTTTAGGCTGAGGACAGGTGAGTTGAAAAATTACCCCAGGAGCCAAGAACTTTTGTCTGCAGTTGCATTATCAGATGATTTCCCAGATGTTAACACCAAGTAGTCAGCAAGGTAAAGGTTTGCTGCATACAGTATTTAAGGTTAACAAACAATGGTAAGAAGTCTGTTTGAAAATCAGGGTATACTTTCGGGGCTGGAGAGATGGCTCAGTGGTTACGAGCACTGATTGTTCTTGCAGAAGACCTGGGGTTCGAATCCCAGCACCCACATGGCAGCTAACAGCTGTCCATAACTCCAGTCCCAGGGGATCCAACAGCCTCTTCTGACCTCCACAGGCATTGCACGACACTGGTGCACTTACTTACATGTAGGCAATACACATAAAATAAAAATAATAAAATTTTAAAAATAATAATTTATTAAAAGAAAATTAGTGTATACTTTCATCCAGTAGCCAAGAAGCAGGGTGGAACTGGAACAGACCCTGTGGGGTCCATGCATAGCTGCTGTGCGTGCAGGCTTGAGAAAGAGAATCAGTACTTCCCCACATGGTACAAGAATTGAGGGAGGCGGGAAGGGAAAAAGCTTACACCCCACATAGGAACAACATCTAGTTTCAAGTGGTTCCAAATTATTTTCATAGAATTGCAGGAAAGGAAAAGAGTTTCAGGGTCACTGCTTTGAATTTTATGCTAAAAACCCAAATCTCATTTCAAACAGTTCCTCCTTAACAGAATGTCTGGTAAGTTTGATTGGGGTCCCAGACATCTGTATTCTGCCCCAAATTACTTTTGCCGTTGGATAGAAAGTTGGCTTAAGGATGAATGTGGTCCCCTCAGTCCTGTCTCTCGCTGAGCAAATACTCTGTGTGTCTTGCAGTTCTTCCGTGCCGTTCTCAACAGCCAAAACACCCCATGCAGTGTTAGCCCCGGTGGCTGCCAGCCAAGCCAAGCAGGTAACTTACTTTTACTTTACAGCCATGTAATGTTTGTCTTTGTAACTGAAGATTGTTTTGTATCCCAACTTTGTTTACATGAAGTATAATTTTTACAGAGTTCTGTGACTCGTTTCCCACAATTAATGCTAGTCTTGACATTAACCTGAGCCGGCCAGCAGTCAGGGCCTGATTCTGTCTTGGTGAGCCATTTGACACTCTGCACTAGTAACCTTAGGCCATATTCTAATGCCTTACTTTTGGATGAGGTCTTTTGATTTGCAGGTGTCTTTCACTTAACATTTTCTCTGTTAATCCATATAACTACCATGTGCAGTGGGTGTTGATGCATCCACTGATAAAGCAGCCAAGGTCAAGTGACTAGTGGGCTCAGCTGATGGCTGGTTAGGACAGCTGGGCCTAAAGCTGAGTCCTGGCCTTTGCTGTCCCCCCGCACTGTTGAGTCAGTAGATTGTCTCATTTTCTTCTGCCGTCTCTGCTTTCCAGAGTTTGCATATTTTCAGTGATATTGTGTCTAGCTTTGGCTTTTCACTGATTTTTTTTTTTAAGTCTGCAAAAATAGGTTGCATTGTAAACAGTTAAATAGTTCAGAAGAAAATAAGAGGAAAAAATTAGGGAAGATAAAAAGCCTAGGACACTGCTAGAAGGAAGGTCAAGCCATCTCTGAAACTTCCTATATAGAGAACCTGGATTTTGAGATGAGTAACTTTGGATTGTGTTTGAAATCAGAGTTTGAGACCAAACCTTCCAAACGTTGTGAGTCCCCAACCATGGCCTGATCCTTGGTTTGCCTTGACTGAAGGTGCTGTTTTAGCATCTAAATCTTCTGGAGGTTTTCATGTTCATGAAGATACATAGCAAGTCATAAATCCTGACTGAGGGCAGAGGTGTTGGCTACAGATTAAAAAGTTCAAATAGTTTTGCTTGTAACTCATTTGTAAATTCACTGGGAGCTGAACCGTTTCCCTCATTTGCTCACTGATTCCTCTAAATAGTCAAGTGCCTTTTATGTGTGGAGCACTGCTAGGCACCAGGAAAATAGTCACGAGCTAGACAGGTGGGTGACTTCTTCTTGTAGCTTGCAGATGACTGTGATGTGCTCTTAATGGGATTGACTTAGAACATTTTTTTTCTTTTTCCAGTCTTCCTTATTAACCTAAATTAAAGTATTTATGCTTGCTTAGTTTGTTTTTTTGTTTCCTTTTTACTGCTCTTTTATTCTAAGGGTAGCTAGTTTAACGTAAGCATTTTTCTTGTGTTCTGTTCCAGGGGTCACTCATCAATTCCTTGAAGCTACCAGGACCCATACCAGCGTCTTCTCACTTGTCACCCTCTGATAAAACTTCTGGTCAGTTTGTTTTCTGATGAAGATGAACAAAACACCTAATATTTTATTGTTTATTGTTCTTGATCACAGAGCCAGTTACAAGAAATCAAGTACAGAGGCCATATTGAAAGGCCTCAGCTCATGAGGAATTTCTAGGAAGTTGTTAAGCCCTCTAACAGCTTCTGTAGTTTTGAGTTGAACTTGAAAGACTTCAAACTCAGCTGTAGGAGAAACCTTTGAGGTTCTCCTGCCTTGCTGCATGGTCGTAGTTTAGAAAGGAGGTAGTAGAACGTGGCGCTCCGTCCCTCTGCTGAAAGGGGAGAGCTGCTCAGGCCTCGTGGCAGCAGTGCAGGTGATCAGTGAGTTCTTTCTTCTCTTGCTTTCCCCTTCTTTCTCCCTTGTCTTCTTTCCCTTCCCTTTCTTCCCTCCCTCCTTTCTTAGGGCGCATGTAGCTCAGAATGACCTCAGACTTGACATGTAGCTGAGGAAGATCCTGAACTTCTGGTCCTCCTGCCTCCACCTCCCCAGTGTTGGCATTCCATGCATGTGCCACCATGCCTGGCTTTACATAGTGTTGGGGATCAAACTCAGGGCTTTGTGCACTCCAGGCAAGCACTCTTCAGCTGAGCTACGTTTCCAGACCCTTCACAGTGACAATTCAAAAGCCAGTAAAATACAGAAAATAAAACAAGTTTGTTATAAGATCTCAGAGTAGGTAAGTTAATAATACCAGGGTTTTTTGGCTTTACACACTTGCCCAACACTCACTCAAGCCTATGTATTTGTAATGGTTAATTTTTACAGTAGCTGGAAGAGTTTGACTGCTGTGCACATGGCCTAAGCCGACTTGAAGCCCCTCAGCACATCCCCTCTGTTGTTCTCTTTCTGCAGCCACCTCACAGGCTATGCCCTCCACTTCAGAAGACTGCTAATTAATTTTTTTTTTTTTTAAAGAG